TTAAAGTGTTTTCTTAATTAATTATGACATTATATTATAACATTTAAACATTAGTAATTAATTAAATGATTAGAATTTAATTGATTATAACATTACATTATTAGTAAATAATTACTTATTATTATAATATTATATATAGTATGATCACTTAATTATGTATAACATACACAGTTAAATGATTACTAATTAATTATAAATTATAACATACATTATCAAAGTTATTAATTTACTACATTAGTCATTAGTACATTACTTAATTAATGGTCAGAAAATCTAATTAATTGTAACATTACATTATAAATTTATAGTAGGATACTTAATTAATTATAACATTATATATAAACATTAGTACATATTTAATTAAATATTAGAAATTTAATTATTATAACATTAATATTATAAATGTATAGTATGATTACTTAATTAATTATAACATTACATTATAATTAAATATTACTTAATTAATTACAACATTACTATTTACATTATATATAATAATTATACATTAAATTTACTACATTAGTATTTGTAGTGGGAGAATCAAAGAAGTTGGTGACAATTTCTAACTTTCTATATTAGTGTTAGTTTGAATGATTTTGTTGAAGTTATTTGATGTGAATTATGATATAATTATTTTTGTTTTGGTTTTGATTGAGGAATTTTATGTGAATTGTGATGAATTGATTGAATTCAAGTTTTGTCTAGAGATTAGAGGATTTATGGTTACATTGGACACAATGAATGAGTAATCAAAATTTGTTAGGGGTGTATTTGTAAACTTTTAAGGTATTTTGTAATTTTTTAAACTATAGGGGTAATTTTTTTTATAGGGTACTCGGAAAGGAACCAGAACCTGTATTTTAGGTTCCGTTTGTAAACCCGCGTTATTATTCCGATGCCCTAAGTATGAAATTTACCTTTCAAGTAATTTTCTTTTTTTGAATGGAAGGGTAAAATTGCAATTTACATGTATTTCAGATGTGGCCATTATAAGTGTAAAGGTGATGTCATTGAAGAGAATGAGGTAGAATGGTCATAAAGTTGACTGTAAGGTTAAATGGCTACGGTAACCAGGGTATAATGGTCTTTATACAAAACCATATGATTAAGTGTCCATAAAGGCACCAAGGGTAAATTAGTCATCACCTAATGGGATTGCTTAATGTTAAGTGTTTTAAAGAAGTCAAATGGCATTAAATGAGTGCTTATCTTTATGTTGTGGTGGAATGACCAAAACGCCCTTATATAAAATTTATGCCAAATGACCTTTATATCTAACTTTTATTGACCAATCACATTAGAGTAACAATGGAATATAATTACAAGGTTTAAGAGAGAGTAGTCAGCCTTGAACCCCAAATATATCATCTTCTCTTCATCTCTCAAATCCACCATAAAAGCCACTAATCCAAGCTTTTATTCTCAAATTTTCTTAGGATTTCAAGTTGATTTTCAAAGGAGATCACCATCCACCCTTAAAGAACTTCAATTTCAGGGTTAAGTGATTTTCAAAACCCTAGTTTTTCTGAATTTTTTGTTAAAAGAGAATTCATATGATTATGTTTGTAAGGTAGAAAGGTAAACTTTGGCCAAGGAGTAGTACCTTTGTGCTTTGAATACTAAGGTAAGGAAAAAATCTCCCTTATGACTACAATTGATAACACCTAGGTTTTAGAAACTTACATTTATTTATGTTAATATGAGTGTAATGCTATGTTTTGGTTAGAGTTGTTTAAATGGTGTGTGATTGGTGTATGTGTGCATATGGAGGAATTATTGCCATTAAGAGATTTTTAGTTGGATGATGTTGGCACTTTTTGGTTCTGTAAAAGGAGGTTTTTTGGCCTTTTATACTTAGAATGATATGGCAAATGATATGATGTGCAAATAAGATGACATGGTTAAAATGAATAGAATTCGGATTTGGTTGTCTTAAGACTTATACTGTACATGCTTCACTGATCAGTCATAACTGAATTTATAGAAGTCCGATTGAGTTGATTCTTGAAGTGTTGAAAATTTGAGAACACCCTAAAACTTTTATGTTTTAGTGAAAACCAATTCGAATTGGAAGATAAGGTAAAAATTGGTTGAAAGTGCCGAACTATATGGCATCCAACTTCTTAATGGAAATTCCCATTTGTTTCTAATTCTAAAAACCCTGAATAATCTTACTACCGAAATTCCTTTTATTGTATGAGAATTAAATGAATTTTTAGAAGTTTAGTAGGAGAATATAGTATGATTGAGCATGGGAGATTTTAGTCCATATGTTTGCATTCATATGGTAATGCATATAGTTATTTTGTCTTATGAAAAATTTATGAAATGTTAATGAATGAATTCCATGAGTCTCTTGAGGTATAACTAGGATCAGAGGAATGGAATTCTGGAAACCATGAGTCCTTTGAGGTGACGACCAAGAACAAGGTATGGTTAAATGAATCCGATCGGATAACAAAGACTAATGAATTCAAGTATAAAGACAAAACAAATAAGCATGCCATGTACATGAATATTTCATAAGTCATTTATGTTCTATGTTATATTATGTATGGTTTGTATGACTTATGTTTATGAGAAAAGCCCAAAGTATTGATATGTTTTGTTTATGAACTTGTATGTCAAAGAATAAAGGTCTGTTTTGTAGGTAGGTAAGGTCCTAAGTAATATACTTGTATAATGAACCTTAATAGTTTATAAATGGCCATATTCCTTACTGAGCGATTAGCGCTCACCCCACGAAATATTTTAAAATGTTTTGCAGGTACGGATTAAGGCATGAAGCTGGGAGAGGATTCCAAAGGACGCTATGAGCATGAGGGGATGCTTTAATGATGACTATTGAATGGTTTTGCTAATATTTAGTGTAGTAATTATGTTCATATTTCATAATGTAGTAATGATATCCATGTTCTATAATAGAGTAAATATGTTGTATGAATAAAGGAAATCAAATTGCTAGTAAATTTTATAAAAGTGTGTATGTTCTAGTAAGTATTACTATGGATTTCATAATTTACTCCAAGAAAGGAAACTATATTTTTTTATTATACAATGAACTTATTATAGTTAAAAAAAAAAAAAAAAATTAAACACATATATCTATATATATGTTTTAACTACAAGTTTATTTTTTAAATAGGATTTTAAAATAAACTTCTTTCCTAGGCGTGCGTTTTCTAGGTTCTCAATGGCCAAGGGATACTTAGGAAATACCCGGCTAGGGAGGGGTTTTATACGGTTCCTTGAATTTAAGAACCTGCACTGTGCGGTTCCGATTTCGGTTCTTTTTTTTGAGAACCTACACTGTGCGGTTCCGATTCCTCCAAAAAATACAGGGTACCCGGAACCGCTCACCCCTAGAAATAGTCATGGGCTCCAACCCTAGTTCACCCTTGCAACCAAACACACCCTTTATAGTATTTTAATTAAATAATTATCATTATAATTAAAATCAATTAATATATAATAATATATTAACATTTAATTAATAATAATAATTCATTTAAATATATACATAGATATATTTAAATATAATCTCACTAATTTAATTTTAATATTAAAATTAAATATAGGCAACAATCTCAGCAAATTTAATTGTACTGTAAGATTACCAAAATACCCTTTTGTCTTGAAAGACGAAAATACCCTTCTCACAGATTGATTCTTAAATTATCTTCTAAGTGTGTGACCCATAGGCTCCTCATTATATCGGCAGTGTGTAGTATCACGATTAACACTAATTAATCGTCTCACTACATACAGACCAAGATTGGCCTCTAGCAAGGCATCATGGCCACCCGATAGATTCAGATTCAGCGAAACCGCAGCCTGTCAACGGTATGGTTATCGTGCAATCAAACATTTTTATCAACTGTTATCTCGCCGAGACTGAGGTACATAAATAGTGTCAACCTCAAATATCCTCGAAATGTTTGTATTCAGTCACTGGACCAACAACAAGAATATTAAACTGGATTGAGCATCAACTCAATCCCACTGTGGCCATAGATTTAGTGTCATTGTCATTTACTGAATTACCTAGTGAGATAACTTCTCCCGTACCCAGGAGTGATAAATCCTTTGTCGATCCACCATAGTCTCGATACACTTCTCAATGTAGCCAATCACTACCGTATTGATAACTCTGAATAGAACTTCATTGAGCTAGTGTCAAACTACACCAATTGGTGCACAAGGCACTCCGGTGATCTCAAGTCTAAGGATCACATGCACGATCATCCGTTAGAGGATTTATTCCATAGACACTAGGGTTACCATCCATATGGAATCCTCTTATGGGTCTATCTAGTGAACTTCCTCTAGTAAGCACCCATGCATTGTACTAGGTTGTCGGCAAACAACCTTGACAAGTGAGATCAGTCACTGCCTTTCGATAGGGTCGTTCAATACTATGATAGTCTTATAGTATTATCTGTCTCCTTTGTTAGAATAATGTTGGGGCTATGGACGTTTCTAGAATAGCCATCATATGTGATCATAGGGTTCTTACTATCAAGATTTGAAATACTTGATACCCTCGTCATGGTTCTACCATCCTAAGGACATATATCATTACATATAACTATGATTTACACGATATAAAAGAATATGTCTTTTATTGATAAATAAACATTTATTACAGAGTCAATTTTTACAATAATATATTGGCTCTAGGGCACCTACTCCAATAATCTCCCACTTGCACTATAGCCAATCATTCATGTATTTAACATCGAATGACCCAAGTGCTTATCATGCTTCTGATCCAATAGAAACTTCAATAGTGGGTTAGTAGGTATTCTACAAATCTGCACATTCTCGTTTTGATTGACTTCTCAGATTATAATTGAATTGACTAAGTGTTTGGATTACTGGTGAGACCGTGATTCCTTAGCCATAACAATGGCTCCATTATTATCGTAGTAGAACTTCACTGGATCAACAATGCTTGGAACCACATCAAGTTCAGTAATGAACTTCTTGATCCAAACCGCCTATACGGCTGCATTAAACAATGCGTTATACTTAGCATCAATCATAGAATCTGCTACAATATTTAACTTTGAGCTCTTATAGCTCACTGCAGCTCTATTGAGACAAAATATAAACCCAGATTGTAAGCAAAAATCATCTTATCTGTTTGGAGATTAGCATCACTGTATCTTCTTACAGTGAGCTCATCTTCCCCTCCATAATCCAAGATCATATCCTTAGCCCCTTTTTGGGTATTTAAGGATGTCCATTCACACTTCTCCAGTGTCACTCACTTGGATTTGATTGATATCTTTTACAAGTGTTGAACTCACATAAGACATCAATCTGAGTACATAACACATTCCTCACTAAAATCTTATTGATATCTTCTGCAAGTGCTTAATGCACATAAGATATCATTCCGAGCATGCAATCACAACATCACTCTCTTGGATCTAATTGATATCCCCTACAAGTGCTTGATGCACATGAGACATCAATCTGAGCATACAAGATGGATCCTCTTCATTCTATCTCCCTCAGCGTGTGGTTTAGGACACATATCCTCAAAGAGATAGACACTATGTGCCACCGAAGAGATTCCTTCTTTGATTCTTCCACACTGAATCTCTTTAGTACCTTGTCTTGTACTCCAACTTGGGCTAAGCAAAATTCCTAATCTATTACGATAGATCTTTATTCCGAGAATGTAAGCTGTTTCTCCTAAGTCTTTTATGGAGAATCACTTGGAAATATAGGATTAGGAGTACCGCTGACTCCATTTGGATTCAAATTCTTGGTCAAACGTCGATAAATGTCAGAAATCAGAATCTTTGGCCAGAGTCTATTATTAGTCATATAAAAGCAAGTTTGTGATGACGAGTTCCGGACATATTAATCGACGATTCGGTAGAAGATCGAGTTTAGGATTTTGACATTCTATGAATCCGTGCTCGATCGAGATATATCAATAGAGAGACTTTACCTGCATGGTACATATGATCTGAAATGGGTTCGATGAATTATTTTTTCATCGTGGTTTAGGGACTATGTCACATTGCTAGATGTTTACCATAGTCGTTGGCCCTCCGGACAAGTTTCCGGATTCATCCAGAATCGGCTCATGGCTAATCAACGGTGGACCTACATGGTCACACCAATAGCCTTGAGAAGTTAGAGAAGGATGAGAGAGAGAAATGATTATCCGAAGAGGGCTAGCACCTTTCGAGGATAATGCCGGAATTTCTATGGTAATAGTTACATAGAAAATTGTTTGTGACATTTTAAGGGTTAAAATGGTTAAGCAATAATTAATTATATTTAATTATTATATCTTAAAGCTTTAAGATTAATGAGATGAACTAAAATAACTTTTTAATTGTTAAAGGGTAAAAGGGTAAATTTATGGGTTGTTAATTTAAACTATTTTAGTTTACATGGGCCCTTTAATTATATTGATTATTCAAAGGGTAAAATAATAAATTCGTGGGCTTCTTTTAAAATAAGATTTTATTGGGGCATGGAAATGAAAAACAACTAATTGCAAAAATTGCCCAAGTATATATAAATGCAAATAGTTGCATTTTAGTTCATTATTCACTTTGTTCACTCAAAGCAGACTAAAATCTCTCTCTCTAAGCCACGGCCACTCTCTAACTCTCTCAAGGTGGTGTTAAAGTGTGGAGGTCTCATCATTTTGAGTCTTGGCTTCATCAACCTTAAGAAAAGGAAAAGGTATAAGTTTCTTACTTTTGGTTTGAAATTTTTGTATCCTATGCATCCAACCTTTCATGCTTTCAATCTTCATTTCCGCCACTCTTCATGCATGTTCTTCTTACAGCTTGTCTTTAAATTCCTTTGAGTCTGTTACTAACTCCTTTTCTAAGGACCACCATGAAGACACTTCATCAAACACCACATTTCGTGATGTGTAACATCTTCCAGTTATAGGATCGCAACATTTCCACCCTTTTCTCTGGTTGTCATATCCTACAAAGATGCATCTAACAACTTTCTTGTCAAACTTACTACGCAAATGATCAAGTACAAATACATAACATACACAGCCGAATACTCGAAAGTACCTAATTGTAGGTTTCATATCCCATAATTTCTCAAAGGGTGAAACAAATCCTAACCTCTGTTGAGGAAGTTTGTTGATCACAAAGGCTGCAGTCCTCATTGCTTTTGCCCAAAACCTTTTCGGTATGTTTTTTGCATGTAACATAGTCTGACAAATTTCTGCAAGATGCCGGTTCCTTCTTTCGGCTACGTCGTTCTATTGTGGTGTGGTGGCACAAGTGTATTGATGATGTATTCGACATTCTCGTAGGTACCGAGAGAAGTCGCCTAAGCCATATTCTCCCCCATTGTTTGTGCGCAAGCAACAGATCTTCTTTCCCAGTTCTACTTTGATTGTATCTTTGAACTCTTTAAACTTTGAGAATGTGTCAGACATTTCTGTTGGATATGGTTCATACTTTGCATGGTCTTGCCCCTACACAGGCACATTCAATAAATCTAATTAATAATTGGACTTGTTATTGTTTTACAAATATTTGGGCTTGGATCAGATTAGATTCAGTTAGGCCCAAATGGGGTAAGGTTTTTCTATTATATAATGTAATAGTGAGAAACTTAGGTTACAAGAAAATAGAGAGTGTGCTACCGTCATTAAGAGTGTAATTGTTGCAGTGTTTTAAAACTTAATACAAGATCTCTTTTTGAATGCTGGATGTAATTCCTTAATCGGAACGAACTAGGATAAATCAAGTATCATTTATTTACTTTTCTGTTTATTTTATTGCATGTGTTTGGCTGGTGTTTCTACATTTTCTTCTATAAGGAAAACCCACACATACCTGGAGAAGTCATTAATGAATGTCACCATGTACTGCATTCCACCAACTGATTGTTGCTTGACAGGTCCGAACATATCAGAGTGTACTAACTCTAGTAGTTCCTTTGCTTTAAACTTCGATTCCTCATATGGTAATTGATGTGCTTTACCATACTGGCATCTTACACATACCGTATCTGTTCTCACATCAAGCTGAGGAAGACCATTAAGCATTGATTTCTTCATCATCATGTTTAGCTTAGAAAAGCTAACATGACGCAATCGCATGTGCCATAAATCTACTATCTCGTTCCTTCTTGTCTTATCAACATATGCAGACTCTATTGACATCACGTAAACTAATTCCAATCGTTGTCCTTCCATCGTCAGCTTTTTTGAGATTTTGAGGTCACGATACACCTTCACAGCTTGTGGATCGAACAAGACATAGTAGCCTATTGATGTCAATTGCACCACTGAGAGCAGGTTTTTATTCATACTTGGAACATGGTAAACATCTTAATGTGGCATTTGATTAGGACTATACTAGGGCGCAACTACAGTCTTATCAATGTAACCAATCGGTAATCTTGAATTATCAACTGTCATCACAACATGATTTCCCTTGTATTTTGATAGACTCTGTGATTTATGTTTATCACTCGTCATATGATTTGAGTAGTCTGAGTCGAAAATCTAATCATTCTCATAGTCAATCTACTCAGCCATCGTTACTATGAGAGCTAACTCCTCCTCTTCCACAACAAAAGATGCTTCGACGTCTCACTCATCTTCGCATTTTTCCTTTGGTTTGGAAGTAGTAGCATTGCTCTCAGTGGGCCTTTTGTTGGACCAACAATCTTTTGCAATGTGTCCCTTCTTGCCGCAGTTGTAACATTTGCCCTCAAATCTTTTACTGTTGTCATGATTCTTTGAAGCCCCCCTTGGATGAGAGCCTCCCTCTCCTTGATGACTTTTTTCCTTGTCACCATCCTTTTTAAATCTGCCTCCAACGTGCTGTTTGAAGTTTCTTTTGCTTTTGTTGATATAGAGTGTTTCCTCCTCACCCTTCAATGAGACTCTTGCCATTTGCTTAGCCATAGCTTCTTGACCAACAAGCAAGTTTTCCAACAAGTGAAGGTTGAGTCGACCATCCTTGTACAACAGCAACAAAACTTCGGTATTCAGGCCTTAGACCATGAACAATTATTCTCTTTGTTCTGGTTTCCCCAATAACAGCATTTGGTTCTAATTTAGAAATTTCGCGGCATATAGATTTTACCTTGTGGAAATACTAAGCAATCGTCATATCGCATTGCGCAACTAATATAGCTCGTTTTTGAGAAGTTGTAGTCTTGTATCGTTCTTCCTTGAAAAAAGTTTGATGAATGTGTCCCATGCTTCTTTCGGTGTTTTTGCCTCCCAAACGTGCTCCAACATTTCATCTTCAATTGTGGTCGTTAGGGAAAACATTGGTTTACCTACTTTGATTTTCCATTTACGCAAAACGCCATTTGCGTCTTCTTCTGGCTGTGTAACTTCATTACCGCCAACAACCTCCCAAAGGTCTTGACCTTATAGGTAAGACTCCATACAACTCGCCCACTTGTCGTAATTATCGTTGTTGAGCTTCTTGACTCCTCCAACTATTTGAAAGTCACCCATCATGCCAACAAGATTTTGACAATACCGAACAAGATTGATCAACAAACTTGCAAAATACCAAACTCCTCATGACTCAAGATATTTCCACCAAATTGGTCCCTAGTTGTCCTGCTCTGATACCAAATGTTGACTCGAACATGTATATTAAAACATTTCTATACTACTCAAAAACACCACACTTGAACAAAGAATCCAAAAGCTTACTGCATTCCTTGTTTTCCTTTTGTTTTTCTACAACTCAAAAGCCTCACCCGAAATTGGAAAGGGGAGATGATTACAGTTCTCAAAATACAACCAACTACCACAAAATATTAAAAAAAGGAGAAATAATCCACTGCCACAATACTTTACCAGTCCCAACAACTCCTACAGTCTTCAAAAAAAAAAAAAAAAAAAAAAAAAAAAAAACAAAAAAATCTTCTTTACACCATTTAGAAAAGTTCCTATTGTCTTGGGTTAAGGTAAAATGGACCAAGTTTTCATTTTCCTTGGGCTGATAAATTTGGACTTTGTAAGGGCAGGGGTTGATCTTTATATCTTTCACACTATGTTACTGTCTACATGATCTTAACTTATAGAGCACTTGCTCTATATTGCATTAGTCATAATCATTAGGAGTATATATCTACTTGCTTCAAATTAACATGGTCTGTATACGTATATTGTATATCAGTTATGTGAGCAAATCTTTCCTATTGGGTGCATGTGCGACCAACCAGATGCTTGCAAATCATATAGGTTGATGTGGTTAGTCCTCATTGATTGATGCACAGGAGCCAGCGTAAAGAATTTTTTGCAATTATGAACTCTAAACTGTTCAAGGCTGGTGGTTTTGGTTATTACTCAGAATGAGAGTTAAGAAAACTCCTATTATCAATAACAAACGCTAAGGTTGTTTCAAAGCAAGCACTTAAACAACTTTCTGAAAGGGACCAGTGCTGTCAGTCTTAGTCACATGCTTGTCATAACGTGAGTTAGATAACATAAATGAGACACAATAATTGCTGCACCTTTCTCCTTTATGTGGTTTCTGATGACTTCGACAAGATTTTACAAGAAATATGCAGAATTCAAATTATTAACATTAGCTATTTTTTCTTGAGCCTTCGCATTCTCATGAGTTTATAGGCATTGAAGAAAGCCTGTATAAAGGATTTCTTTAGTTAGTGATTTCCAATTAGTGATAAAATTTCTTTTTCCTTTATTTAGTGAATAAATCATTCTCAGTTATCAAACTAAAAATTTCAAAGAGCTTTCAAAGGAAAAACGAAAAATGGAATCTTCATTTCTAATAGTCTTTTGACCGCTTTTGAACTTCTTTTTTGGAGCTGATCTACTTGGAATACCCTAATTTCTTATGACTTAAGAAAAGTCTTTGACCCACAATACAATTTGGAGGACCATTACCCTTACTTGACCTCAAGAAACCTAAACACACTTCACAATTTTATTCATAAATTTACTATGTAGGAAGGTTGCCTGCCAATTTGTAGAAATCAAGGTTTCTTCTTCAACATTTTTTAACATGTAATGATTGTTTATTATATTGCTACATAATGTACTTGAAACTGCCATTTTAGCCTAGATCACATTTTCATGGCCAAGGTCTGGACTAGTTGAAAAAGTAAATTATTATATTAAGCATTTGATTGAGCTCTTTAAAATGCTTTTTATTATTATTTTATTTTAATTCTTCAATGGCAATGTTCTTTTTAATGGTTAATGCATATGGATAGTGCCAGTAACTGAGCTTCAACGACTTATTCTTTGTTCAGGTCTGTGGACTTGAATTTAGAGGAAGGTGCAGCAAGAAAATATTCTGGAGAACTTAGAAATAAACAGTCTCAGTTTCGTGTGAGTTCCAAAGAGGGCCAAATTCTGATGTTGAAATTCAAGGGCCTAGGAGCACTAGAGACTACCAAAATCTAGATATCAGATATGGTGATCAAACACTTGCTTTGGTGTGAAGAAAATCCTTGATCCACAAGGGGCCATTCGGAAGTGGATTCGTCTTATTTTGTGTGTGATTGCAATCTCATTGGATCCTTTGTTTTTTTACATTCATGTGATCAATGATCTTAAAAATGCATTGGATTAGACAAAACATTGGGATAACGCTAGTGTTTGTTGGTTATTTGAGCATGCAAATGTGGTTATACGGGAGAGAAAAGGAGTAAAAACAGAGAGAGGTAAGAACTGTATTGGTTCAATATATTGCTAAAAATACAGCAGAGTTTTTATTCAAAATAGACATACTGTTGTACCTAATCTTAAAATATATTTAGTCCAAAATAACTTCTTAACCATCATATTCTTAGGCAACTCTGATTACATCACATTAATTTGATATAAAGTTGGCAGCCAAGCAGCTGATTCACCAAAATATATCACTTCGCATGCCTATAGACTAGCTATGGACTCCTCCAGACCTACTAATTCTGCTCTTTTCCGCCAGTTCACAAGCTTCCAGCATAATCAAAAACATTTGTTTCAAGCAAATTCACTACCTTTGAACACTCCTCCTTGATATTTTTGCTTGAGACACCAGTTAAGTTTCAGGTCTTCAAACTGACTTATATAAGGACTTTGTAAGATGTCAGCCAATTGCACTTCTCCCCTCAGTGTGTCAATCTGATTTCTCTTGCATTGCTCAACCTCTCTCACTGCATGAAACTTGATTTGATGTGCTTAGTTTCGACCATGCATGTCGGATTCTTGCCATTGCAACAGCCATTGATTATCTACAAAATATTTTTAGTAGGCTCACACTGTTTTTACCTCCATATCAGCAAGCCAATTCCCCAACATATGGCTTGAATTTACTACAGCAGTAGCTAATATGTATTCAGCCTCTATGTGGATTGAGCCACTATTTCTTGCTTCTTGGAAGACCAGCAAAAGGCTCCATAATTCATGTAGAAAAACATACCCTGAAGTGTTCCACATGTCATCACAAGACCTCCCCAATCACTATCTGAATAGCCATCCAACTAATTTTCAGATTTCCTAACCAGATTCCTATCTGCAGTTCCTCTATGAACCTCGCACTCTCGTGGCTGCTTTAAGATGCTCTCACTTGGTTTACTCATAAATCTTGATAGGAGACTAGTGGCAAACATGAGATCAAATCTTTTGCTGTTAATAACAACAAGCCCCAATCACCTTCTATAATCTGTCTCATCCACCGGGCTGCTCCCATCTCTTTCACAGTGTTTGATTTTGAACCAAGGTGTGCAACCGACTACATTCATTCCATCCCAACTTCTTCAGCATCTCATTAGCATATCGTTCTTTTGACATATAAAAATGCCATCTTGAGATTGATGGATTTCCATTCCAAGAAAATAGGTCATCTCTCTCCAAATTAGTCATCTCAAACTCTTTGTGCCATTTCCTTCTTGAACTCTTCAACTTGAATTTGTTTCCTTCACCTAGCAAATCATTTCATATAGGAAACCATGATGACATCTTCCATTGGCTTTCTTCACATCAAAGTATGCTCATTTAGGCTCCTTGATAACCTATGTCTAGGTAGTCATTGATTCTGTGTACCAGCTCTTGGAGCTTGTTTTTAGGCCATATAAGGCCTTTGTCAGTAATTAGACTGGTCTTCTTTCTCTTTGACTTCGTCCCTCAGGTTGTTCAACAAATATCCTTCCTCCGCCAACCATTCAAGAAGGCTGACTTGACATCCATTTGAGTAACTTTCCACTTGAATTGAGCTGCCAAAGCAAGTGACTAACCTGATTGTTCATGCCTAGCAATAAGCAGCAATGTGTCTTGAAACATCTACACCATGTTGTTGTGCAAAGCCTTTCACAACTAACTTAGCT